AAAAAAAAAAAAAAAAAAAAAAAAAAAAAATCCTATTTTAAGGAATGTCGGTAACTCCCTATGTTTTAGTTTTAAAATGAATGATATTTTAAAAATTTATGTAAAACTTCAAATATAGTCAATAAAGTTGGAAGTGAGAAATACATGAGTTAAAAATATTTAGAGCTAAACAATTATTCTCCATGAAGCTGAATTTTGAATGCATGATTGGGCAATACTGGGGAGGAATATCTTCTAATTTATAGGAAAATGTTTTGGCTATTTTTTCGTATTCAGTACTTAACAAAATCCCCAAGAATAACTTCACAACTATTTCTTTCCACTTTTTAATTTCAAATTCTAATGGGTGGGTAACTGTCATCACTTCTCTTTCGCAAACTTGATAGTACCAGAGTAAACGAAGCCAGTAATAAGGACAGTGTAGAAAAAGTGACTATGTAGAAACTTAAGGCACTAAAAGGGATGGAAGTGAAGTTGGGAAAGAATAAAGCATAGTCCACGTATTTTTTCTGGCTTTTATACATGAACATAGATGGACTCAGACTAAGACCAAACTTGCTCTAAAAGGCGAACATTCAACAAACAAGTGCAGAACACCCCTAATATCACACAGTGAGCTCGTCTCACTATACTGTGCTACACCGTAATATCTGCTAAGATTAACAATTTTGAGATTCTGTTTTCTGTGGTCCTACTGACTGCCACAATAAAGACCAGGAATCTTAATTTTTAGTGGAAGTTGTATCTGAAAAAGTTACACACAGAGGTAATATTAATCCGATCTACTGGGACTAATCACCCTCCCTCCTGTTCTAGGAACCAAAGAGGAAATGCAGGTCACCAGTAACCTCACCGCTACACCTGGGAACAGCAGCCTGTGTACCAGAGACTACAAGATTACCCAGGTTCTATTCCCGCTGCTCTACTCTGTCCTTTTTATTGTTGGACTTGTCACAAACAGCCTGGCAATGAGGATTTTCTTTCAAATCAACAGTAACTCGAACTTCATTATTTTTCTAAAGAACACAGTCATTTCCGATCTTCTCATGATTCTGACATTTCCATTCAAAATTCTTAGTGATGCCGAACTGGGACCAGGACCTCTGAGAACCTTTGTGTGCCAAGTTACTTCTGTCATATTTTATTTCACAATGTATATCAGTATTTCATTCCTGGGACTGATAACTATCGACCGGTACCAAAAGACCACCAGGCCATTTAAAACATCCAACCCCAGTAATATCTTGGGGGCTAAGATTCTCTCTGTTGCCATCTGGGCCTTCATGTTCTTATTCTCTTTGCCTAACATGATTCTCACCAACAAGAGGCCAAAGGACAAAAACGTGAAGAAATGCTCTTTCTTTAAATCGCCGTTTGGGCTGGTCTGGCATGAAATAGTCAATTACATCTGTCAAGTCATCTTCTGGATTAATTTTTTAATTGTAATTGTATGCTATACTCTCATTACAAAAGAACTCTACAGATCATATGTAAGAACAAGGGGAGTAGGCAAAGTCCCCAGGAAAAAGGTGAATGTCAAAGTTTTCATTATCATTGCTGTGTTCTTTATTTGTTTTGTTCCTTTCCATTTTGCCCGAATTCCCTACACCCTGAGTCAGACCCGGGATGTTTTTGACTGTGCTGCAGAAAACACTCTGTTCTATGTCAAAGAAAGCACACTCTGGTTAACTTCTTTGAACGCGTGCTTGGATCCATTCATCTATTTTTTCCTTTGCAAATCCTTCAGAAATTCCTTGATAAGCATGCTGAAGTGTCAGAATTCTGCAAAATCTCCATCCCGAGAAAACAGGAAGAAAGGACAGGGCGGTGGTAACCCAAGTGAGGAGACACCAATGTAAACAAATTACTCTAGGAAGTGTTGCAATCTACTAGTGTTAAGAATCCCTCAAAGGAAAGCGCTGTGTAAAAATATTAACACTAAGAAGTACCTGGGTTCATAATAGTATCTCTTGAATAGGTAACTACAAAAATAATTTTCAACTACTTTGTTAGTCTAAAAAGCTATCTTAAAATGTTTGAAAATAACTTCATCTGTAACTAGGTAGTTTAAAAAAAAAAACATATCCAAGCACCATGCTTCATGAAAAATCACAAATTCATTATTTGCATAGCTTCTGCAAAGTGGGTTACCATATAATAATAACATACGTCACTGATAAAATACATCATTGATCTTGGGTTTTTTTGTTTTTTTGTTTGTTTGGTTGGTTGGTTGGTATTTTTAAGACAGGTTCTCACTATATAGTTGAGACTAACCTGGAACTCACTATGTAGTCCAGGCTGGTCTCGAACTCACAGAGATCCTCCTGCCACAGCCTCCCAAGTACTGGGATTACAGGCGTGCACCACCATGCCAGGCTTGTTTTATTTTTATATCAACAGAAAAAATGATCATTCTGCTATGAAATGATCAATCTACTCTCCAAAATTGATGATGTATATATACTTATTCCTTTAACCAAATCATAGGCTATTATGAGATTTATAAAAATTTAAATGTGATAAGGCATAACTACTAATTTTTAATTATTAGAAAAATCTTCAGGGATTTAACCTAATTGAAATTGTATTTTGTGGGGCTGACTTTTTTAAATTGTTCATTAAAATGAGATTTAAAGAATGCCTTTCTAATAAATAGCAGAAATAGTGAATAAAATCATTAAAAATTGGACAATTACTTTTATAACCTCCTAATAATGAAAACATTAGGAAAGTCTAGTTTACTAGCATTTTAACAACTTCAATGGATACAGTACCATCAGCCACACTAATTTTTATTAAACAGCTTCTATAAATAGCTGTTATTTGAATAAATGAACATTTCCTTTTATAAGAAAAGTGAAGTGTGATTACAGACTTGTACAATGTAACTACAAAGAAGAAAGCGACTATTTGGCATTACTTATTTGTGTTTGTGTGTATGAGATAAAAGTTTACATTAAACTCTGCATCACTTTCTTTGCATTCCTTGTTCAAAGATACTATATACCATGGCTCTATCTTTTGCTGTACAACTACCTCAAACACTAGCTCATTTAAGAATCACTGCCAACACTGTTTTATTGAATGGCATTGTGCAGTCTCTTCAGATAAGGTCTCACCTCAACAAGTTCATATACAAATGATAAAATTGGTGATACTTATACAGTCTGATTTCACACAAGCCATATTTGGTATTTCTATTTAATTGACAAATGGTACATATTTATGAGGTACGGTGTAACATTTCAGTACACGAAGATAATCAGTAATGATCACATCAGGGTCATATATGTTTTTAATATAAGCAAAATATGTAATACTAGAAGTGAAAATCACTTATCTCAATTATTTATAATGCTCAGCAGTGATTCTCAAACAGAAGATGGCACAGACTCCAGTATCTAAATATATGTCAGAAGAAATAAAAAGGGTAGGCTGTGATATAGAGAAATTTGCTGAATTTCAATATTATCCACACCCATCACAATTTCTGCTGAATTAATCTTCATTACAAGTTAGGGACTCATTTAAGCTCTCAAATAGTATATATTCTCAAGTAGCCACGTATCCTGCCACTGGTACAAATGAGCATATAATGTCAGTGGAGATACACACAGAGATCTGTGTCACAAACACACATATTTCCATGTACAGCTGAGCAAAAAACATCTGTCATATCTGCCACATAATCTACTCTAATATCAGATGACTGTCTTCATGTTCTGTAAGAATACCAGGCTATTTGACTGGAAGATAGCCTAGAAATCAACCAGATTTGTCAAACCACCTTACTTTGCATAAGAGACAAATGAAGGACCCCTAGACTCATTCCAAGTCGGGACTACAGAGTGAATTAAAAAGAATCTCTTCAGGGTGCCAAGGTCAGATATGGGTATCCTGGGAAACGGCAACATAGGCAGAGATGACTTAAATGATCCTACTGTCATAATTTGCTGAGATGACTTTTTCCTCAAAGAGACAGAAAAAAACTACACATGCTAATGGTATTATAGTATTTTTATAAAAAGAACTGCAGTGTTTTAGAATTACTTATTCTTTGGAGGTATGCATATATAACAAATCTATAAGTCATCTTTTGTTGGAATTTCTTTACTCAGACAGTAGATACCATAGACTCCAACATCAAACAAAAGACAGGGCCGGGGATTTAGCTCAGTGGTTCCGCTGCCTGCCTTGCAAGTGCAAGGTCCCAAGTTCGAGCCCTGGTACCAAAAACAAATAAACAAACAAAAAATAAAAGCCTGAGAGGTCAGTATTTACTAAGTGCTAATTATACATACTACATGTCACTATCTCTAGGTTTAAAGTTTTTGATATAAACCCATTTCACAATGGCTTTTATTTTTTAAAAAGGTATAGATACAGGTGGGTGAAAATTTCAGAACATGAAAGAAAATGTAGTCCTGACATAGCCTCAGAGGCTTCTGAAGCCTAAGATGTTTGTGGTTGGCAGCTGTTCTCAGTGGTTTCTTTACAGAAAACATCACAGCAGGGGTTGGCAAGCACAGCCACTAGGACAAACCACAGCTCACCACAATCTATGACCTAAGAATCATTTATATTTTCAAATGCTTGTGGGGGAAATTTAAAGAATGAAATTTCATGAAATGTGAAATTCAAATTTCAGCACCTACAAATAAGGTTTCACTACAGCACAATCATGTTATTCAGGCTGACTCTATGGCTACTTTCATGCTACAGCAAGACAGCTGAGTTGTAGTAACAGACTCTGCACACCCTGCACAATTTAAGTATTTCCTACCTCATTCAAAAAGTGGGGACCGTCCACCCTTGAAACAGTACTACAAGGACAGAAAGAAAAATTGCAGAAACAGAACCATCTGTTTGCACATACAGGTGTTTTGGCAGCTTCAAACAGAAAAGAGCTGACCACTCTTGGTAGGCAATGCCCAGAGTGAGATTAGGGTGCTGCTGGTGGGAACCAAAAGTATGGAGACACAAATACGAATCAACGAGTACCGAGAAACAGCTTAACTTTTTAAAAAAATGTGAAGGGGGCAGAAGGCAGTTCCCAGGAGAAATATACATAGTCAATAAAAATACAAATATATAGACATATATATCTGCTTTATAAATTATCAATTTATGTATATGGCACAGTTTTTATCTATAAGTTTCTAATTGATTGAAAATGTTTTCATCACATTAAAATACAAAACATAAAAATATATACACCCTACTTATAAATTTCAAATGCACACACCTAACATATAAAACATGGCACAGCTTTTTTACCTGTAAATTTAGAGTTGATTTAAAAAGTTATTAGCAATTTAGATTAGTGGTGCTCTGCCTACCTCGCAAACACAAGGTCCTGAATGTGATCCTTAGTACCAAAATACATAAATAAACAGAATTTAAAAAATAAAAAATTATTTATAACAGTTTTAGAGAAATCTGCTCTTGATGGGAGTATAAATTGGTACCATCTTCTGGAAACCTACCTGAAAATACCACTCAATATTTTGACATGTAACTTTTTGACCAGCTACCCTATCTCTAGAAAATTTCCTACAAATATGCTGGAATAAATGCACAAAAATATATGGCCAGGAAAAAAAAAAGAATATATGGACATGTATTTGGGTCATAGTATTATTCTTAATGAAAAACTTATAAATAAACTAAATGTCCCCAGTAGAAGCTAAACTATGGTGGCTTTATTATTTATGAATATATGTTGTAGCCGGGCATGGTGGCGCATGCCTGTAATCCCAGCACTCGGGAGGCTGAGGCAGGAGGATCGCTGTGAGTTCGAGATCAGCCTGGGCTACATAGTGAGACCTGTCTCAAAAAAAAAACCAAATAAAAAAAAGAAAGAAAAAAAATATATAAATATATGTTGCTTTTGAAAACATGTCTACAAGTACTAACATGGACCTAAACAAATATCAACATGTAAATAATGTAAATATGTATGTGCAACACATACACATTGGTACATATATGAAAGGGGATTAACTTTCACATTCTGCTATATATACTTCTGAATGTGAATTTTTAAAAACATTTTAACATTAAATATTAAACTTAAATATTAAGTAGTTCAAATAATACTTATAATTATTTCAGTTACATGTAGAAATTTTCTAATATTTTAATGTACAAAAACATATTTATCCAGTCCTCACCGATTGGGAAATAAATAAGTCACACATGTATACCGAATAGTTTCTCTGGTGTAAAAAACTATAATGGTACATAAGATACTAATGAGATAATTGACAATGTGAAATAGGAAGAAAAGGGCTAAAGGTGTAGGGAAAGTGGGAAGGGTGGGGGAAAGGTAATAATGGAAAAGGAAAAAAAATGAGAAAATGGAAATAAAGTGTTTATAAATAGGGAAGGGGGGTGAAGGGAGGGCAGGGGTAAGGGGAAAAAATGAGAATCAAGACCTATCATGTAAAGGTACAAGATCCCAATGATGAATGTAACTGTACTGTATACATAAAATGTACCAATAAACTCAATGAGAAAAAAAATATTTACTTTTAAACTGCATAACTTCTTTTAGCTCTGTATCACCATTTGTTACTATAGTGAGTCATTTTTAAAACAATGTCACATGATTTAAGGAAAGTACCTTGGTGTATTTCGATGGAAATTAAGTCTCTTCTAGGAATATACGAGTTCCCACTTCAACTGTCCATCCTAAATCAAAGCAAATACTTCATTTTTTTCAGTATTATTCACATGGTACTGGTTAGTCATATCAATAGGAATCCTTTGACATAACTTGGAGACTAGACATGGAAATAGTTTTTTGCCATTTAGCAGCCTAAATTTTGTGACCTTTCATTGTATCTTCTTTGATTTCCTCCTCAGCAGTGTTCATTGTTTTCAACCTCTAACCTGAGTCTGTAGCACAAAGTTTCCAAATCCAATGGCCAAACACTTTCATACACACATTTGAAAGAATCCACTTCTATTACTAGAAGTGGGCACAATTAATTGGTTCCTCTTTTCAAAGTTTCCCACACACTGGAATTATGAAATGCAACCACTATATTATGAAAGAATCCTGTACAAAATGTCTCTTCTTTAAAGTGAAACTATTCCAAACCTAGATAATCAATTTGGGGCTGAAGGGAACTTTGTAACTAACCATATAGGTTAAGCACCTCTACCTAAAAAGCTTTTTTAAAAGCTTCACTTCAGTGTTAGCCTCTACTGAGGTAAACAAAAAGATGTGTTTAAATTGTATTCCAATACATAAAATCTTGAGTCCATATTCCTGAGGATCAACAATATTTGAGTCACAAGTAAATTTTTCAAATTGTGCTACCCAATGGTTAGAATCAATCAAAATTATTAGGCATTTTGTTGCCTCATATTTAAAAACATTCAAGGGAATATAGAATTTCTATTTTCAGAATTCTAACCCAGAGATCCAAAATTTCTGATGAACTCAACTCTACAGTCTAGTCCAACTCTATGGTCAAATTTGTATCAAGAAACAGGAAATGAAACTTAGCATGGTGAATCCACGTGTCATAAAAATCTCTTCATTTCCTCTTTCCCTTTCACCTATCTGGGAAGTACACACCCACAGACAACAACCTTCCTTACTTCAAGAGATATAAAGGAAAAATTTCCTAATTCTAAAGACTTTAGCCTATAGACAATTCATGAAATTCATGAGGTGTTCTGTACTTCAAATACAACACAAAAAGATTTCTAAGAGTGGCTTTCTAAAAAGTGAAATCATGCATCTCCATTCAAATCTACAATTCATGCACCACAGCGGTGAGTTGCTAACATTTTTAGTGCTGTGTGCCCAACACAACTCTACACAATTAATTCAACCTTTCAACAATACTATGATGTTGGTATTTTCAAATATATTATACAGGCAATAATACTTAGACAAAAAGCTGTTGAGTCAATTATCAATAATCTGATACAATAATTAGTGGACCTAAAATTCTTAACTCAGAAATCTGGGCCTAAGGAACCGTTACCAGTTAGAAAATGTCATACTACCTCTGAGAAATCCCAGAATCAAAGGACTAAGGCAAAAGTCTACCAAAACAGGCTACCACTGTGAACAAAAATTTCTGAAAAACTCAAATCTGTAAGGATGTACAAGATTATTCTGACTTTAAAGCCTAGTGTTTGCCTCCTACTTGATTGTAGTTTAGGATTATAATCATCCTTATTATATACTAGAAGAACTCAAAAAGTTCATTGACTATGTACACTGAAAAGATAGACTTCAGGAAAGTTATTATGAAAAAACTGAAACGAAAGATAACTGCAACTAAATTAGTCAAATCATAGGTTAACAGTTAATTAAGTTTAGAATAAAAGAGCTTATTTGCAAAACCTCTAAAGGGCGTTCTATTAGAGGTCATATTACAAAAGTACAGGAGTGAAAATGAGGAAGGAAACTCGGTATAAAAAAGCAGAACATTTGCTTCAGAAACTCTTCACAGGACGAATTAATGACTCCAGGAATAAGAAGACACAGAGCTGAGTATCTTCTTGAACAAAGGTGAATTTCGATTTTTCTAATGAATGCGCATGCTTTTAAAAGGCAGAATATGCTTAAGAAAAATGTTTTAAATTAGTATTCTACAAACCATAGATTATGAGCATAGAGGAATTTATACCATATAACATGTATTATCCTACTATTTAAATGGGGTTTTGTTTACTGCAGTTTTAAAAATGGGAATTGTGAATGAAGTAGAACCTGTTATTCGGATTTCATGAGGGTGAAAGTCATGATATTATTAAAAGTACTAAAAATTATCATTTGCTTTTAAACTTCTAGCCAGAAACAACATGGGGCTCTCAACAGATCTACTGAATGTGTCAAATAAATGCAGGGTGCTTTGCTTTTTTTTTTAAAGTAGCATTTGCCAATCATGAAGGGCTTTTCGTTTTCCTTTGCTTGTGTACGTGTTTCTTTGTAATAGATGACACTGGAAACAATCAATGCCTCGGTGATGCAGGGCTTCAATCAGTCTCAACGCTGCCCCAGAGACACTCGGATAACACAGCTGGTGTTTCCAGTCCTCTACACTGTGGTTTTCTTGACTGGTGTCCTGCTGAACACCTTGGCGCTGTGGGTGTTCATTCACATCCCTAGCTCCTCCACCTTCATTGTGTATCTCAAAAACACTCTGGTGGCTGACTTGATCATGACACTCATGCTTCCCTTCAAAATCCTCTCTGACTCGCACCTGGGACCCTGGCAACTCAGAGCTTTTGTGTGCCGTTTCTCTGCTGTAATCTATTACGAGACCATGTATATAGGCATCATGTTGCTGGGCCTCATAGCCTTTGATAGATTTCTCAAGATCATCAGACCCTTTGGAAAATATTTTATTAGAAAACCTGTTTTTGCAAAAGTAGTCTCAACCCTCACCTGGTTCCTGTTGTTCTTCATCTCCCTGCCAAATATGATCCTGAATAACAAGGCGGCAACACCATCATCTGTGAAAAAGTGTGCGTCCCTGAAGGGCCCTCTGGGGTTGAAATGGCACCAAGTGGTCAATTACATATGCCAGTTTATTTTCTGGACAGTTTTTGTCCTAATGCTTCTGTTTTACATGGTAATTGCGACGAAAGTATACTATTCTTATAAAAAATCCAGAAGTAAGGACAGCAAAAACAACAGAAGGGTGGAGGGGAAAGTATTCGTGGTGGTGGCGGTCTTCTTTGTGTGCTTCGCTCCATTTCATTTTGCCAGAGTTCCATACACTCGCAGTCAGACCAACAACACAACTGACTGCAAGCAAGAGAATCAACTATTCATTGCTAAAGAAATAACTCTCTTTTTGGCAGCAACTAACATTTGTATGGACCCCTTAATATATATATTCTTATGTAAAAAATTTACACAAAGATTGCCATGTATGAAATGGAGAAAGACCACAGCATCAAACCAAGAACACTGCAGCAGTCATACAGACAATATAACCTTAGGCTGACAACTGAATGTGTGGCTAATTTCTATCTAGCAACAAGACTTCAAAGAGTCATTTATTTGGAAATCAAAATTAAGCAGCAAAAGAAAAAACACTGCATAATAAATGCTTTCTTGCATTATCCTATTGTACAGCAAAGACTGTATAAATTAACTCCACATGGATCTATCTACTCATAAGCAAAATCAACATTGACAATGTAACAAACAAAGCAAATGGCCACTAGGGGTCATCTTTTCAAGGACATTCATTTAATAGTTTAGGAAAGATTAAGAAATGTTCATCCCTAAAAACCTCCTCTCCAGACATCTCACGTAAAATTTCAACAACACTACCTCCTTTATAGCACTAAAATTTTAGTATCTGCTAAAACAAACTCCAACTTCCAAAGGTCATCTATGAAATCTAGAGCCAAGGGTTGAGACAGATGCTAAGTACAAAGAGTCTGAGGATTCAAACTGGGTCAAAAAAATCCCGATTTTACCCTTCCCCTTCCCATTTCTCAATGTCAGTAATCTTATTAGGATCTTCTGTATTACTGCAGATTATTCACACCAGAGAAACTATTCGGTATTTAAAAAGGGAAAAGAAAAAAATGTGAGATAATGAAAAGACGGAAATAAAGTGGTTGTAAATGGGGAGGGAGGAGAGGGTGAAGGGAGGGCAGGGACAAGGGGAAAAAATGAGAACCAAGACCTGTCATGTAAAGGTACAAGATCCCAACAATGAATGTAACTGTACTGTATCCCTAAAATGTACCAATAAAGTCAATTAAAGCTGAAAAAAAAAAAAATCCCCTGAAATCCAGGGGAAGAAGTTTCTCCTCAGGATTACAGGGCCTCTTGCATATTTCAACAGCACATTACAGGAGGCAGAAACATTAAATCATCCTGCTTACACCTCAGTGTACATAAATTGAGGAGGAGAATGCTTTGTTTTTCAAAAAAGCTTTCCTGGGCCACAGTGTCTATAGCCAATCCACCACCACCCTAGTTGGAAATAACTATTTCACCACTCTTTGGTTGCATGTTAAGTTTCTCATCACGGATTTCCTTTTACTAGTTAACTGTAGTTCTTGATAGCATAGCCCAATGATAGTTAACATTCTTAAAAGTCAGACAAGTTTTCTTAATATCTTCCAAAGTATTTCCCACAGATCATGAATTACAGATGTTTTAAATATAATATGCTATTCTTAGTACACATAAGAATGTATAGTTGCCAACCCAAAAGCGGTAATGCCCACACTAGGAGTTTTTTTAAAGTCTACTTAGTCTTATTATTTACTTCCACTTTTTCCTGAACCCCTTAGCTGACTTGAAAAAACATTTTAAAAGCAAATGTGATTTTCTGAAATTATGGGTGCTAATTTATATGGTCTAGAGAAAATACACAAAGGAAGAATCATTCTCTGTAAATGTGTATGTGTGGCCAGTTCCAAGGTAATCATCACAATGTAAAGCCCAGGCCTCCCTCCTCCCCCAGCCTTAAGGCCCCAAAGGCCATAGAACTTGCCTCCTTTTCTGTACTCATCTGCTAACTGCTTTTTCATCCCTTGAACTTTATACTCCTACATAAAACAGCAACTGTCAGAATTGCTTTTGCCCCTGAGCCATTCTGATCACCTAGAAAACTTATCCCTCTGTGAAACCCTAAGTTGTCATCACTTGGTCTGGGGAGTCCCATCTGGCCCATCTCCCACTACCACCTCAAACTCAATCACTCCATCATCTGCACGCTGTCTTACCTCCATTACTGTATTTATCACATTACTTTGTAATTACTTGCTGAAATACATACCTACTGTTAAATAACCTATGTATATTTTTAGGGCAGAGGCTGCCTTGTTGTGCAATTAATAAATATTTTATAAAACAAATGGGTTTAATTTTTATATACTAGAGAAGCAAAAATGAAATCCTGTCATTGATATTATTATCCAAAAATGATATCAACTTCATGAAATGCAAGGTGAAGTTCCTTTCATTTGCTCTCCACTATGCAAGCAAGGGTCTGAGAAGTGTTTCTGGGTTTACTAATGAATGACCATGAGTAAAGCAGGGCCATTCAGCAGTGCTTGTGTAGCTCTGAGGCTACTGACCAGGAACATTTCAGTTTGAAAGCTACTGACAGAATGTGTTAGGCCTGCACTATTGATGCTAGCTAAGTAAAACCCATAAATGTAGCATATGATAATCTCTAAAGATCTCCTTTATAAAAGTACTCTTGATATGTGATTTTCATCCTCTTTAATGAATTAAATTACCATTACTACTACAGAGGTCACTAAATCTGTATTATCACTGTGGAGTGCACTACACAATCACAAGGAGACATTCTACTTTAAGTTACTTGCAGCTGAAGCACTCTTGCTTAATAATAATCTATGGGTGGTAGTGTAATAATATTTACAATATCTTCTGAAGGTGGTTAGAGCTAATGTATATATATTTCCAGATAAAATTTCAATATCCTTATCTTCCATAAACACAAATACATTATTCTATTATACTGCAATCAATAGCAAAGTGCCTGATCTAAAAAAAAAATTTAGCAAAATTTTAAAGAAGAGACATACTAGAGAGATCTTAAATTCACATCCACAAAACAATGAGCTTCCAAGACTAGCAATCACAATTCTAAATTCCAGAATTTATGGATGGGATGATATAACATTGCCATAAATGAGACATAGAAAAGAATAAAAAGAAAAAAATGCAAGTTCTACTATGGCATGTTTGTTCAGAACACGATTGAGGGCTTTTATCAAAAGCTAAAATGTAGGCTGGGCATGATGGCACATACGTGTAATCCCACGGCTCAGAAGCGGGAAGATCACATGTTCAAGCCTAGCCTGAGAAACCTAACCACTTAGTGAGACCCTGTCGCAAAATATAAAGTTTAAAAAAAAGGGGGGGGGTGATGTAGCTCAGTGGAAGGGCCTGGTTTCAATCCTCAGCAATACAAAATATAACAAATAAAATGAATGAATAAATGCTTGAGTGTAATTATTTTACTGGATAAACAAGGCAAGGTCTTTCAAATATCCTCCAGGAAGAAAAGGGATGGAGCGTGCATCTGTCACACATGGATGGATTCTTGACAAGCCCAAGGAAATTACTGATGGGGTGGTGTACCAGATCAATGAACTTAGAAATTGATAGAGTTATTCTAAATAACGAAAGTCCTCTAGAAAGTCACATGTATCTTAACAGAACAAAATATCCGGAGCAGAAAAGCCCAAATGAATGGAGGCATTAATAAATATTTAAAGAAAAGCATGTTTAAAAGGCAGCAGCCCCACCAGGTTTAGGGTTTACAAATTATTTTAAGTGACTAGAAAGACATTCACCATTTTGAATTGTACCCAGAAACCAAATGTAGGTAATGTGAATGCAGAACACGTTATATTAGCTCATAAACTTTAGTGGCTTTGTGGAGGAATGTTAACGAAACACCAACTGCTAGATCCACCTCAAGTTTCTTTACCAGTGGGTCTGGGGGAGGCCTGGGTACAGACTTCCAGGTAGCACTGGTGCTGCGGGTGTAAACCACATGATAAGAACAACCATGCTAAATGCTCCTTAGGATTCACACTTCCATCAGGGCTGACCTGCAGCACAGCCTTCTATCCAAGAACCAGATCAGACAGACAAAACTGTCGGTAAGGAAGCAGGGCACCTGAAAGGTGATGGGAATGACAATGCTTGGTTACCTGGAAAGTTCACACCCCACTTCAAGGGTCATCTCCCACTCAATACCAAGTGTGGGCAGAGCAGGGAATTCAGGGTGCCTGGTGAAAATGGTACTGGTAAAACTGGAAGCATCAGGAACGCAATCAGCACACATTACTATTTACTATGTACCAAGAATGGCAGATGGACCAAGAATCTTAAATACATTATCTCATTTAATATGCCCAGGAAGCCTATAGTGTATTATTATCTCAATCTTAGAGATAAAGAAGTTAAGAAACAGAAAGATTAAGTAACTTGGATGGGGTCACATAGTTAGCAGGTAGCAGGGCTGAAATAACTCAGACTCTGGCTTCTAAGCGCATATTCTAAATTACTGTATTTATAACCTCAGATCTTACAATGTTCTCAAGAGAAAGCACACCAGTTCCCTGTGCTACAGGTTTTATAATCTGTAAAACTTCCATAGCATCTCCGCTGTCCCAGACTGAAGAAAAACAACACAATCAGGTGTGGGCTGGCAGCAGCCCATGGCTGTTACTTCATAAGCCCTGGCCCAGAAGTTCACAAGAACCTCCCAGGACCTCATGCAACTGAATTCACTGAATGTCTGCTGCGTGCCAGGCACTGTATAAGGATTATCACTACATCCACTGCATTTCTAATTCTCACTACACCCTATGTGACAGACACTGTTAGGCTCTCTGAAGAGAGGGGAAGAGAAGGGGGGAAAAAAAAGAAAACTGAAGCAAAAAGAAAGTCAATGTCCTGCCCTCGGTGCGTGCCGCCCTTCACACACAAAGCAAAGGCGGCAGCAAAGCCCACACAGGTGGAGGACATCACAGCTACTCCAATACAAGGCTACTCTGTCCTATCAGTCATAGGCTGATATCAAACCCCAGCAGCAACAAGAGTGAGGAAGCAGCTATTGGAAAGGAAAGGGGAAAAGTCTCAACACAAAGAGCTTCGTACTCTCAGAAGCAGGAAGGTTCCAATCATGACATCCTGTATGTACTGAGTACTCCTCTAGTATTAGAGAGTTCTTGAGAAAAATTAAAATCCCAGAGAATGGATTTGTTTGCTCATCAGGCAAGTGATCCCTTCATCATCTGCATGGTGACAGGGCCTTTGATCTCTGAAGGTAAAAGCTAGTAAGGAATACAGAACCCAATGACTGCAGGTGTTGCATAGGATACGAGGCACACTGATCAGAGCAATGAAGTTCAGAGGAAAAGGTAGCTAATTCCAAGAGTTTGGGGTAGGGAGGAATGTTTAGAAATCAAGGAACAAGAGAGATTCAAAGAAGAAGCAGTCATGAACAGAATCTCTCTGAAGAGGTCAACAATGATGAGTCCACAACCATAAGGTCATGGTAACTTTAAGAAGGTGGAAGGGTTACAGCCTTTGTTTGTGAATGGGAAACAAGGAATTAAAAGTTAACACTTTCCTTCCCATTAAGGACAAGTCAGTTTAAGAGTTCCACA